AGGGAAAGAACTCAGGGCTCCCTCCCTGACAAGGGTCAGGATTAGTCTCCTGGAGCTGCTGTAAAAGGAGCAGCTTAAACCACAGACACCAGACGCTAGTCTCCTCACGGCCTTGGGGCCAGAGGCGCAGAATCCAGGTGTGCCAGGAAGGAGGGGAGGGCGTGCCTCGGGTTCGGAAGACAGCATGTCCACAGGGACAGGGCAACAACATCTGGAGAAGTGACACAGTCCAGGTCACAGGAACGAGAGAGGCCTCGATCACTGGCAGGACAAGAGGCAGGAGGGCAACTGCAGTGGCCTGGGAAGGGCTTCCACTTCCTTGAGACCTTGGGTGACCGTTCCAGTTGCAATGGGGAGCCAGTGAAGGCTTAAAATCCAAGGAGTGACAGGTCTCACCCAGATCTGGGAAGGGTGACAGTCTGAAAATGAAAGGTGCCCCTACGAGCCAAGAAGCAGGCGGGGGCTGTGGCTTTTAACAAGGCAGACGGTAGGGCAGGCCATGTACTCACAGTGGGAACGGAAGACACAGCGTGGGCCTAACTGGCCGTAGGAGGTGCACGGGAGGGTTCTCGATGGTTCCTGGAGGCAGCTCTGGGAAGCGAGTAAGTACATGGAGGGTCCAATCATTCAAGAGGAGATGAAGACCGAAGGCAAGGCCGCCTGCTCGGCACAAGGCAGGACGAGGTGAGGAGGCCTGACGGAAGTGGTGAGGGTCTGGAGGGCTCCATGGATGCGGTGAACAGCAGTGCACAGCGACAAGGAAGAGGCCGCCAGGCAGCACTGCGAGGCCAACTGCGTGTGGAACCCATAAACGTGAGCAGCACGGACTGGCGTGCGATGGCGCATCCCCCACCGTGCTCGGCAGCTGGGTCGGGGCAGCAGGGCTGGGGCTGGGGCTGGGGCTGGGTTGGCCGAGCCAGGGTGGCAGAGCATGTCAGAAGACAGGAAATGGAGGGTAGTGCTGGGGAAGGGCTGCAGGGTGGGACGAGCCAGGGCCAGCTGAGGAAGACTGGGAAGTGAAGCCGGTGGGCCATGGGGACTGTGGGCCAGAGGCTCCAAGGGCAGGAGGGCCCAGGGTGGCAGAGGAGAGCCAAGGGCGTGCCGTGCAGGAGAGCAGAAGGCCGTCTTTGGGATTCTGGTTCTGGGCTTGACTCACATATCGGGCACTCAGAAACTGGGAGAATTAATGAACAAACAGAAGAAACTGTGTCACATGCCTGGCCCTCGGCAGAACGGAACGGAAGAACATATAGAAGAAAGCGCGCAGATGGGTGAGCGCCAGCGACAGGAGAGAAGGGACACGACAGCTCTCGTATCTGAAAACGCCTCTTGGTCCTGTCACAGTTTAATGGCTGCAAGTGACACTTTGTACATTTTTTCTCAAGGTTTTTGCCATAGGGTGTGCTCACCAGAGAGACAGAGAAAGGGAAAGTGAGAAATCGCTCCCCAGAGGGGATGGCCACGCCATAATCCCTTCTCCTCTACTCTCCTCTCAGGAGTTCGGGCACATATGCACACATGCCCAGTATGATTTTCAAGCCGCCAGATCCAGGACTCGAACCCTGGTTGGCCATGTGGGAGTCCAGTGTCTTAAGTACCAAACCACCTGGAGGCCCTAAGAGCTTACACTTATAGAAAGTTCCGATTCTGGGAGAAATACAAGCCAGACTTTTAGGGTTTCCTGAAAAGAATGGAATGGGAGTGGCACAGCATCAAGGACCGAATATGTCCGCCCTCCATGGAAAGTCGCCCCGTGATGGCACACGTAGAGATGGCGCAAAGCTATTTGTTGCAGCAACTCTGAACTGGAAAAGACTAGAAATACCCCAAATATCCTACAGTAAACTATGTTCCATCCCCCAGTGGAAAACTGCGCTGCAGGAATGGGGACCGAAGCAGCGCCCCAAGACAGCGATGGCCTGAGGCCCGGGCACAGCCCAGGGAGAAACGAGACACCATGCAGTAGCCTGAGGGGAGGAGAGACAGGTGCAGAGCACAAGCACACGTCTGACGGCTGTCTGCACGGCTGCACACGCGTGTGTAAGGCAAGAACAAGCCAAAACCCAAACGAAACGGCTACCTAGAGGGGAGGACAGGCAGGGAGACAGGGATGGAAGGCAGGCTTCTCTGGCTGTACTCAGCTTTAGCGGCTGGACTCTGGAACTGAGTAAACATTTTAAATAATTATAAATCAAAATCAAATCAAGTGCTAAAGCAGCTCCTAAAAATAAAAGGCAAATGAAAGCAAATGGGCATTAACTGTGCATGGAATTAGTAGCCGGACCACAAAGAGAACACAGCAACAGAACGCGAGTGTGGCCTAAAAACAAGGGATCGCAAAGAAATCGAAGCTACATTCAGCAGTCCTACCACACCGTTGATAATGACACCGGGACTGGTATTTTTAGATACACACATACACATTAATGTCTTTCAGAAGCAAGATTTATAGTGTGTAAGAAAAGAGAGAAAAGTATCAAATCATAGAAGCAAAAGCCATATAATCCCAAATTTGAGTTGAAAATATCCATTAAAATTCATGAGATATTTCCACGGGAAAAAACTTGCTCTGTCAGTAGAAGCACCAGTCAGTCTTGCAGCAATGAGCACACCTACCACTCAGCCTTCTGGCTCCTTCTTATTGTTTCCCTCGTGAAGGGGCCGGGGATCCTTGGAGAAATGGTCAACCCATGTAGAGTAGGCCCTCAAACTCCACGAGGCCATGTCAGAAAGACGGCAGAGCCAACATGAAGGGCTCCCACTCGTTGGAGTTGGGACAATTTAATCACCAAAGAGCAGTTGGACCCATTATGTTTCACACAGGAAGGGCCATCACTCGGGAGGCTGGAAGTCGCATGAGGCCCCAGATTGGATCTGGGCCAACCTGAACATTCCAAGGCCGGTTGCCCACCCCTGTAGTCCTAGCCAGCTGGGAAGCTGAGGCAGGAAGACAATGACAGCAAACCCCTGTCCAGAATATCTGTCTGTCTCTCTCCCCACCCCCCTTCTCAACCATAAAAGAGTAAGAAAAAAAAAAAAGTGACAATGGATTGAAACATACCAAATATGTTACAAATTCAGGAGATCATCGTAACACTCAAAAAAACCTTAAAAACCTAATTATAACCTTTGCAAATTATTAGGACATCAACTAACTATTCAGGAAACTGGCAAAGAGAGGGAAATTACACCATTTCGTCCTATCTTTCCTCCGCAAACAGGATATGGGAGCTCATGAAAACTGGACAGGAGCTCTTCACAGAAGACTCCAGCCATCCAGACCATGCAGGAATGGTGGGATCAGCGTGTCAGAATGTCAGAACTTCGAGGGAAGCACTGGATCCGGGCAATGTCAGTGGCGGCTCCCAGGCTAATGGGGAACTCCGGATGGAAGTGCAAGGCCGACAACACCTGAATCCGGTTACCAAACTCAACATCGGGAAAAGCTAACCACCCAGAGTTTGTGTTTCCTGACCTGGTGCGACAGGAACACACAGTACCATCTCCCTAAAACCTGAGGCCAATGGAAGCTCTTGACCTAACCAAGAGTTTACAGGAACCACCGGAGAGTGGGACATCGGGACACTACGGAGAAGCAATCACCCGCCCCAAACCTGGGAAATTCCAGAGGACCCATGGCCTGCTCGGCTCAGCAAATGCAATTCCCTGCCAGGAGGAAAAGGGAAGGGACAATTGTCATCAATTAAGAGACGGAAGAGACACGGCAGCCAAAGCAGCGGTCGGACTCTGCATTCTTATTCGAACAGTCCATTTACTAAGAACACATTAGTGGGAAAACTGGGGATATTTGACCAATGGCAGATGTGAGATGATATTAAGAAACTATTGATAACATGTGTACTTGTAATAATAAGTTGTCATTTTTTAAAAAGGAGTATTCCCTAGAGAGCAATACAAAGTATTTCATTTGAAATGATATGGTGCCTGGGTAAGAGAAATGAAAAAAGATTGGTCACATGTTGACGATGGCTCACACTGGGTGAACGGTATGTGGGCATTCATTTTAATAGTCTCTCTACTGCTGTGTGTATTTGAAATTTTCCATAATAAAAAGTAAAAAAAAAAAAGAAATTTCTCAGATGAAAAGAACGAGCGCTGTCTTGTCTCCCTAACGCAATTACAGGAACCGGGCAGGACAGGCCTTCTGTTCGTAAATACTCTAAGAAGCTGCTTTCGGAATTATGAAGATCATCTAAAATAAAAGTTAAACACATTTTCTAAAAATATCTTAAGATTACAATTGTTCAAACCTGATTGTTTGGACCTGTAAGGTGCCTCACCACGATGGGTATGAGGTATTCAGAGAACACCATGGGAAAACTGCATCGATTTCCTTGCAAAAAAAATGGCAATAGGAGGAATCTGCTCCATCAGCTCAGTCCGCACTGTGGGCTCTGCAGGAATGACAAGAAAGAAAGAAAGAAAGAATGAATGAATCATAATAAGGATAAGCCAAGCATCTTATATATAGTATATACTGATAGTTTCTAGCTCTTCTTCCTAAAATTCTTCATCAAGGAAATTGGACAAATGTAGTTTAAAAATCATTTCCCATTTAGAGCATTTATGCTAGACAGGCCTAAAGAGCTAATAAGCTCTAAGCAATATAGAAACATAAGCAGAGCGAGTGACAGCTCTATTATAACGAGCTGCACAGAACCGAGGAGGGGACACAGTCCGCAAGCCGGGCCCGCGTCCAAAAGCCATTACCACTAACGGCTTCCACGCAGACCTATGGGCTGTACTTACTTAAATTCCAGCCAGAATGTGTACGTTATAAATAATTCTCTCGTAAGTGCACTCCCCACAATCCAGGCATCCCAATTATTTCTAAGGCAAAGCATTAAACAAAAGAGCGGCCCCAGCCCACTGCAGCACATTAAGTCTGGCGCAGATATGGAATTGCTGCGGCACCATGAGTGGTGGCTCACTTACGACGGGAATCCATTTCAAGATTCAAACATCCAAGATTTAAACATCCACTTGGGCCTTTTCAAAAGCATTGTGTCAAATTCAGATGAATATTTTAAGCTAATATGGGAGCTATGCAGAGAGCTTAATTTTCTATTTTCAGTTATAATCATCAAATTCTAAGCCCTCAGATTTCTGAAACTTTCTGAAGCTGCTCACTGTTCATTATGCATGGGGTACGGGGGCTGCGGAGCAGCTGTCAGTTTGGGCAGCCCCACCAATCACTCATTTTACTCATCTCTACTGTGTGATGGGGGATGGGCCGCAATGTCACAGTGCCTGTGGACAGCAATGTGCTCTCCTTCCAGAATAGCCATCAAGGACCGATAAGAGAGAGAAAAATCAAGATTGGCCTACAAAGGTCACAGGGGAGGAAGACTAGTGACTGACGTTCGTTTTGATTTGCTATTTCTTAGCCACCAGTAGTCAAACAACACTCAACACGAAGGCCTACCTGCCAGGGTCACAGCACTGGCCGTCATTAGTCACCCTACTTTTCCAGGACAATTGGAGTCATATTCAAACAAGATGCCCATTCATGACAAAATCCATTCATGCTTAAGATGATGATTAAAGTTTACCAATTAATAAACAGGTTTTTTAGATTAGCTACCATGATTACATATCATTTCTTAGAAATGCACAAGGGTGGGCCAGCCCCTGGCACAGTGGTTAAGGTGGCTAACTCTCGCCTGGCCAGCTACATGGTTGAGTACTGGACCAGTGGCTTGAAAAACATGCCAGCGGTGTGTGTCCATGCCAAAACGCCCCAAAGGAGGGAGGGACGGAGAGAAGGAACTGGAGCAGGACTGCTCCCCGGGGTGGGGCTGGGTGGTGCTTCCTCACTTTCTTGAGTGAAAACAGTCATGGCAGAAGTTTTAACTCCACCTTCAACACCGAAAACTGAGATTCTATTTAAACTACCCTTTGATTTCTCACAACCATTAATTTATGTAATGTTCTAAGTTAGTCCCAAAATACCATCATTACCAATATACTTGCATGTATATGTAATATTTTTTATATATCACACAACTGGCATAAAAATGATGACTATCTACACATCATACATGTATGACAAATGCCCTACATGACTATCCACAGTGACTACGTACGAGTCACACAAATGTTTACTGGTACACACCACGCGTATGTGTAAGCGTGCATTAAACTGTACGCCCCGGGCTCACATACAACGTAGACGCACAGCCACGTGTATGTGTAAGCGTGCATTAAACTGTACACCCCGGGCTCACATACAACGTAGACGCACAGCCGTACACCTATCTGTCTGCTGTCTGTCTGTCTCTCCCCAGCGAGCACATGCACTCTGGCAAATTTAAAGAAATGATATGCGTGAGTGAAAGTGAAACAGCACACTAGTTGCACAGACCTGGGTCTCCTGACATCTGACTACGACCTCCATTACTGTCAGGAAGTCCTCTTCATTGTTCCCGGAGTCCCGGAAGATGTCGAGGCACCCTGTGGCGATAATCTGACAATGGAGACAAGATGTGATGCCCACAGTTATTCAGACAGCACTAATGGCAGCAGCGAAGGTCTGCATACTGTGCTACAAGCAGGTAATGCCACCATAGAGCAAAAGATAGCCAGCAACCTCTGTCCAGGACGACAGGCGAGCAAGGCACATCGCAGATGGCCATCCCAAGACGGATCAAAATCCTGTAGAAACTGGGGCCGGCTCAGGGGTGCAGTGACCTGGTGGCTTGGGGAATGGTGGCGACGCACTGCCCAGGAGCTGAATCCGCCTGGCGACCTCAGCTCACGTACCCAGCCCAGCCAGACCAAAACATGCCAGGCACGTGAACGAGGCTCTGGATCCACCGGGCGGAGGGCTGGAGGGGGAGAGGTGTGCCCAGACTGTGCAGACGGCACCCCTCCTTGTACCTCCCCGCGTGCATGTGTGCTCTAGCGTGAGGAAGGAAAACCCAGGGAGTGAGGCGCTTGTGTCCAGTCTGGCTTAGGGTTTGAGACTGGCCAACTGAGAGAGGGGAAAGCTTCCTGCTTTTCTGACAGATTCTTCAGGCCTAGAGAGACAAAGGGGAAAATGTCATACCAGTGGGAAGGGACAAGTGATCAGCAAAGGCAGAAGGAAAGGCCCCAAAGAGGCACCCGGTGGTCTTTGCGAAAACAGAAGGAGGAACTACAGGTGAAGAGCCTAGGGGAAAGTAGAAACGAGACGCTGCTCCCACTCGACACTGCCCTGACTTTCCCACCCTCCTATGCTGACCTCCGACCCCACCACATAAGGCTGGTCTTAAGGGGCATGAGGAGAGCGGCTGGGAAGACCCCATCCCAGTCTAGGAGCCAGAGGCCAGGGGTACTGTGGGTGGTGGCAGTTACCAAAAGGAAAGACACCATCTGGCCCATGGGGCCTGCCCGCGCTGGGAGCTGAGTCAGCCTGCATTGAGGACCCGGCGCCGACTCGGCAAAGGCAAGGCCAGGAAGCTCCCCAAACGAGGGCAGGCAATAAAGGGCCTAAGAACAAGCAGGCACTCCCAGCAGAGGACACCCCGGCCACCAGCAGAGGACACCCTGGCCACCAGCGGAGAAAAACGTGACTCCTACTGCAGGACCAAGGGCCTAGATCCCACCCAAAGTGTGATCTGAGCTCCTGAAGGCACATGACAGAGAAACGTGGGGTCTCATTTCGGCTCACGCTGAGAGGACGCTACACTGCTCTTCTGATCGGAGGACGGGGCACCCTGAAGGTGTAGGGACAGCCCAAAGATGGACCCACAAGCCTGGGAGGCCAGCACGGCCTTAGACATGTAGAGAAAGCAGAAAACGTGCAGACTCTCTCACACCAGCCTGCGTGCGTACTCGCCCTCCCTCTCACATAGAAAAAAAGAAAAACACTTTAGTTTAACGTGAAAAATAAAAGGATAGAGGAGCTGGACGGTGGGACAGAAGTAACACAAGTGGACCCACACGGGAATGGTTCTATGGTTCTGCGTTCGAATCCCAGGAACTCCCTGGGCAGGCCAGTTGCGTGTGCACTCCAGGTGGACTCAGATCAGGGTGGGTCATGGCAGAAGACCTGAGGGGCCTGCGTGACTCTCTTGCTCTCTTTCTCAGAAGAAATAGATAAACTTCTCTTTAAAAAATTAAAAGAACAAAAAAGATATATTAGCAATGGGCAAAAGAAATCTGGAGTAGCTGTACTCATATCAGATAAAGTCAGCTTTAGAGCAGAGTACCACCAAGGAGAGACAAGCCACCGACCAGTGGAAAGTACCCGACAAAAATCTTGTACCCAGAATATATGCATGAATCTTACTCTCTTACGTTCAATAATGAGACAGTCTCATTTTTAAAAATATATTCGTACTAGCCCAAAGTCGGAAACAACCTAAAGACCCACCAACTGATGACTGGACAAACAATGAGATACCCATTCAATATTATTCAGCAACAGAAAGGAATGAAGTGCTAATACGTACTACACTGAGAGTGAGCCTTAAAAACATCTCACTAAGTGATAAAAGAAGCCAGACTAAAACAAAACAAAACAAAAACAAAAAACAAACATATATTACATAATTACATTTCTATAAAACGTCTAGAATAGGCCAATCAACGGAGACAAAACAGCTTGGTGGTAGCCTAGGGCTGGGGACTTGTGGGTGATGGCTGCTGAAGGGAACAGGATTTCTCTTGGGATGATAAAGATATTTCAAAGTCATCGTGAAAATGCTGCACAATTTGTAGACGTGCTCAACACCATCAACTTGTACACTTTAAACTGGCAAATTACATGACATGCAAGGTAAACTTTATTAAAGTTGTTACTTGTTTTTAAAAAGTGCAAAAGATTTTACTGACTGCACGAAAGAAAATAAACAGTCAAGAAATACAAGGAAAATTTTCAAATTTATATGTCTTCAGGAAAACACAAATGACATTGGACCTAAAAGACACCCCCTTACCCTTGTGACCAAGATCAGTGTTGCCTGTACATGACAAGTTGTGCTGACTTCCTGGAACTCCTGACATGGTTCTCCGAAAGACGCCGGTCACCTCTGGAGTATTCCCTCCCCAAATCCAAACCCTCAGACCCACTGTGAGAAAATATCAGAAAGACCCAATTTGAGAGGCATCCTACATAATACCTGAGCATTGTTCTTCGAAACTATCAAGGTCACGAAAGACAAAGAGAGACCAACAAACAGACTGGAGGAGCCAGAGGAGACAGGATACCTGAATGCAACAGGAGCTCTGGATGGTAGGCCAGGGCAGAGGATCGTCTATGGGAGACGTGGAGTCCAAACAAGACCTGTGGTTTAGTGCATACCCTGAACCAAGCCAATGACAGCGGATGCCTGTGAGACACAACAAGGCGGGGTTTCTTGCCCTTGGCACAGTGACTTTTTCTTTCTTTCTCTTCTTTTTTTTTTTTTTT